GTCATAGGTTCCTGGGAGTCTATTCTGAATATACAGTATGCTAAGAATCAAAGTATAATAAATCCTACAAACAAAGAACCACTGACGTCCCTCGAATAGCTTCAAAATCTAAAATGCTTCATCACGACCCAGAACATTAGTCAATAATAAAGAAAATCATGCATCAGTCAACTGGATTGACACTTACAAACTGATAGCATCTCGAGTTTGTGGTGCACAACTATAATTTGAAACAGGCCAATTACATAAAATGTTCTCACTTAAATCTCTAGATTTAGAGCAAGTCTTTAGATAACGTTTTCCGTGTGTCTGAAAACATAAGATCTCACCATGTTGCTGACAAATGTTTGACATCTATTTTGAAATGTGTTGTGTGAACAAGTATTTACGGAGCTGAACTTTCTTTGTGCGTAATGCTAAGCATCATACACATAAATTTGTCAAAAACTCACTGTGTAACAATGTGTTAGTATTACAGGATGATGATGGCTAAAGATTTAACATCTGATTTTTTATTTTGAGACTTGGTTCAGTAAGGTTCAACATTGCATTTTCATTATACCTAATGAAAAAAATAAAACTTTGAAAGACATGAAGCTAGCAACAGGTGTTTCTGGGTAGTTTAGTGCAAAAGGGCAGCCTACCTGAAAGTTCAAAGTCATTAGCATTTAAAAGTTTTCCTCACTGAAAAATAAAACTTCTAAGAAAAATACACACCGACGAAGGCACTTGGGTTATTTTAAAATGTTCAAAATGTTTATGAATGCCTACTGTAATAAAACTACTCTTCTCATGTTTGAGAGGTTTCTTCTGTTTTTTTCAGTAAACCAAAGCATTTCAGTAGTGTTCACTATACAAACCATTAGACAAGACTACCATAATCAGATCCTTATTTAAAATGGAAATGGCAAGTCTTGGGATAATACATTATGTTAGAGAGGCTAGACTGTTATGATATCTTTCCAGTTGAACAAACTGTGCATCAACACATGCAATCTATTAAAATTCCTATCTGCAGAGAGCTGGCATGTGAGGCCAAGTTTTTCAGAAAATACATGTGCATCTTCCCCTGCTCAATTCGGCTTTCCTTATTTAAAAAAAAAAAAACAACAACACTTGAATACATTAGAATGCAATCATTTTAAAAATGTGTAGAGAATACAACAGGGCGCATGGACGCATTAAGGTAATGGAAATAGCTTAAGAAATACTTTTGAGATTGTTTGCTTTTCAGACATGCATATTATCCCCCACTAGCCCACTCCTCCATATAAAAATGCACGGCCAAAATAAATAGGCAAGAAAATTCACTTTCCCTTGTCCATCTGCTCCTGCAAGGCTGCAACGAACAGCAAAATACAACAGTGGCTTAGAATACTTTGATTTCTTTGTTGGACCTGAATTTTTATTCCGATTGACCGTTTTTTCGACACTTGAGTTTCACCTGTCATTAAATATTTTTTGTGTATTTTGTCCACATATTTTTGTCCTCAAATGCATGAGTGCTGTTCAAGTGTGGTGAAATGAGTGCTCTTTTTGATCCTCATTTACAGGATATGTTCATGTTGTAAATACAGGAACAATAAATACCTCTAATTCATAGAGATATTTGTTGTCTTTCCCCCTGGAATTTGAAAATGATGCACAAATGAAGGATGATACCATCCACCATGGGCACTGGACTCCCTGAGCAATACTGGCACTAACTAATGCTAAAAAAGTACAATTTTAATCAATAATTGTAAAGAGAACAAAAAATTCATACATACAGAAAAGTGTGCATCAAAATATACTTAAAAAAACTCGAAATGAGGATATTAAGGATATTCAAAATTCTCAAAGGCATCAACAAAGTGAACTCAGAGCACTTTGAGAATAAGTGGCATTTTTATTTTACCTAAAAGGTTGTCTTGAGTATAGAACAAGCTACCCAGCCATATGATTCAAGCCGATACTTCGGCTTCCTTCATGAAAAGGCTGGATAAGGTCCTCAGATCAATTAACTACTAAACTGGCCCGATGGGATACCTCGTTTCATTTGTAACTGTTCTCATGTTCTTATACTATAAAGATGAATACATACCCAGTGATTTAAAAGAACAAAAACTGATTGTGCAGCTCCTGTATAAAAACCTTTGGACTGGAATGTAAAAACCTTCAAAAGATATTCAAAAGTTCTTTTAGTACTGTACATGAAAGTTTATATTGCAGACAACCTCAAATTAACATGTTGCTAATGCCTTGATCTACATCATGTTTTGAACAAGGTACTGTAGGTGAATGACACATTTATCCTTTTTTACTTATACGGCAGTCTAATTGAATTACCTTGCTCCCAACCAGGACAACCTTCCAGTTAGGAGCCCTTACCACTACTTCACACTGTTGAGCTATAACAGTTCTCCAAAACATACAGGTAGTGGACAAAACATTGGAAATATCAATATAAAGTCTTCTAGGAGGGATGAAGCATCACTCGTTCACAAGAAAGTCCATTAACCTGATGGAAGTGGAAGCAAGCTGTCTCTGGTGTCATTCCAATTATCCCATAAATATTCTCGATTGGGTTCAGATCTGGTGACTGAGAAGGCTGTGACATATGGATAACATCACTATCACACTCATCCAACACATTCTCTGTGGATGGGAGACCAGTTATCCTGCAATATGGGGTGAAGTTGATCACTCAGTACTATTAAATAGTGATGTGAATTAACCTTACCTTCTAACGGAAGGATTGCACCAAATCATCCCAGGAATATATACTCACAACTTTAGAGAACCACTGCTCAGTAGTCCATTGCCTGTGCTCTTACCAACACTGAATTTGCAAGAGTGCCCTGCCAGGTGTAGTGAGCAGTTTGCACATTGCGATCCGCAGTATCCCACTCATTGGAGTTCTCAGTGGACTGTTTGTGATCAAACTATCTGCTTGTGCCCAAGGTTGAAATTTGCAGTCAACTAATTTACAGTTGTTTGCCTGTTTTGCTTTCCACTTCAATTTAATGCACAGATATTATGATTCTTCTGCCCTGATCCTGATCCTTTGCTGATGTGATCCCCTCCAAGGTCCACACAGACTTCACCCTAGATACTGCTGCTAATGAAACATCAGCAAGTTGTGCTGTCTTGGTCACTGAAGGCCCTAGAAACAATCAACCCTCAACAATCACCCCTCTTGTAGTTTCCTCTTGCAACCACGCTAACATTAGTTGAAGGTGAAAATCTACTCCACACTCTACATTCCAAAATGTCCCACAAAGGTTCAATGCTGTTTAGATCTGGTGATGTGGAAGGCCATGGAAGGTCTGTGACTTCATCCTTGTGTTCATTAAATCACGCTTGAATCCATTAAGCCATGTGTATGGGTGCATTATCGTCTTGGAAAATGGTAGCATCTTGAGGAAACAATGTTTGCACCATAGGGTGCACCTGGTTTCCTAAAATGGCTTTGTATTCCTAGGCCATAATTCTACAATACAGTCATAATTGGACCTAGTCATTCCTATGAGGTGGGAACAGGCAGTGTGGGTTGAAGAATTGTTTTGGCTTTCTGCATCCAGTTGTAGAAAAATGAGTAAAAGACGACTCATCAGACCATATGACTTTTTTCCACTGCTCAGAAGTCCAGGTTTTGTACCTCTTTACACCAGGTTATGTGTTGCTGCTCATTGGCGTGTTTCCATATAACAGACCTATCATAAATATCAGCTTTGTGAAGCCCATGATGTACAGTTCTTGTTGATATTGGGTCATGGAAGTGTACTGTAGGCCTGTACTGTGAGGCCGTTGTTTTGTGGTTTTCAGCAACTACAGTATTCTGTTGAGTGTACAACTGTCCCTGGTGGTAGGCTTCGACTTGCAACCTCTTTTCTGATGATTTTTTCATGTTTGGTGTATGCCATGATGATTTTCAGTACAGTCTCCCTTTGACACATTAAATAATTTTGCTATTTCTGTAACTAATGCACCTGCAATTCATGTACCAACTATCTGACCTCTTTCAAAATCTGTTAGATCTGTTTAGAAACTCACATACTAAAGTGTTGATTTCAAGATATTCTTTACAGCTAAATTAAATAACATCATTGATTAATAATTAATTATTAATATTAAACATTAATATCAAACACAAATATAATACTATATAATTGGGATTTACTATGAGACTTTTTTGTTAGGTGTGTCCATTATTTTGTCCATCTCCTGTACTTGGAGCCCCTTATTTACCCAAGTGTTTCCACATTTTTTGTCCACTACTTGTATATCTGCATTCATGTGCCCTTTATCCTAAACATTCATCCCACAGGTTAAACCCAAGCAGAACAGCTTTAAAACGTATTATTTTGATACTTAGGCAAGACACAAATCCTGATTTCATACAGAAATTATATATATTACAGATATAATTTTCAGATTTCTCTACTTTGCCTTAAGGCGTTACATTTGATGCTGTCTTGTGGTTTGATTTAAAATAATGAAATTACATATATTTATCTTTCTTATGATCAGATGTTCCTTACCTACAATCATCCAATACATTAAATAAAAACAGTTAATATATTTTCTTTATAGCAGAAGGATTACAGGAAACATTTTCTGCAACTCTTAAAGTCCTATATATTGTGATACTTTAGGGATCCCTAAAGAACAAACCATATTTACAGATCTTGCTAAAATATATTAAATAACTGGAAAAAAATCTCACTCCTAAAAGTAGTCAACACGGTTATATATTAGTGCACAGTGAAGTGTGATAAAATAAGAAAACCCACTAGTGGGTGATATTTACAATACACTGATGTTAGGTAACTCCTGCTGAAGGCTGTGATTAGGTACAATAAATTCAACAGGTTACAAGACTGACACTTTGTCATGATGTAGTTTTAATTTAATTTTCCTTGGCTTGAACAAATCAACATCTGTGTATCTGAGAATGTGCAGCCCCGTCACTATTGCATTCTCCAACAACAAGGACTTTCTCACACTGAGCGTCTTACCATTATTGAATGTCTGTTGGCTGAGAGAAGCCCTGTGCCGTATCCAGAGCCGAGACCTCCCATTGCACCGTTGTGTGATGGTCCTATTAAGCTGTGCATCTCGTTGTGCCCACTGGGCATGCCTGTGGAAGGCCCTACGGCATGACTGCGTAGCACGTGAATCGCATCGTCCAGCCTCTCCAAACGGTCTTCAATGCGGCTTTGCTGAAACAGAAACCACACTGGTCATGCTCATTCACCAGCAAAACAGGACCCCCAGTCTTCTCCAACAGACCCATGACACAGCATTTCAAAACCCAGAGCCACAAGATGTTTTTCATCCACTGCATTTATCAGAGCTTGCGCATTCAAACACCTAAGAGCTATTTTACCTGTTCAGAAACAAATACCACACAATTTATTCTGTGTAGGTGCAAAACTGGAACTATTTGGTCTGTTTGTCCAGAATCCTCACTCCTTGCAAGAAAAGTTTGCTAGAAATATAAATTTGAATCATTAGATAATTCAAAGTAATAAAAATTGCCAATTATCTTTATACCCGAGATTCCTATTGTTCATATTTCCATGTTGTTCCATATGAAATACCAGTACATGTAGGTGGCTAGTTTAAGTTGATATTTTCAGTTGAATAAAACAACAAGGTTTTGCAGACTGCTAGCTGAAATGACACTGCAGACATGGCTGTGGGTGACATTTGGAATTAACTATATAAAATTAACACAAAAAAAGTTAAATGGACCAGCATAAAGACTATACAACAAAATTTAAAAATCTAGCCAAGTTGATGGGAAAACATAAAAAATCTTTCATTTGGTGAGTTGATAGCTAAGCTGTAAAAGGCAACTTGGAGTTGTGACATTTTTTCCCTGAACAAGGGAGGACTCACAGAATGAGTTCATGCTTACCAAAGAGTGCAGTGGAGCTTCATAGTTTGGCGACGATGGCCCTTGTCCTCCATTCCTGGACCACACAGCTGTGCCTGCCGCTAAGAAAGACCGAAGTATAGAGAAGGGCAAGATGAAAAAAGAGTGAATCCACAAACAGTTGTGATTTATATTAGGATATGTTTGAAATACTAGTGGGAAAAATCCATGGCTAAAAAGAGATGCAAGAGGGGTTTGCAGAGAAGTCTCAGGTATCAAGTCTGAGCTTGAAAGATCGGATCTCCAGTACCGACGCTTACTACCAGCAAGTATGCATTTACCACAGAAACAGAAAGGTATGAGAAGAAGAAACTGAGGAAATCTGTGGACTTTGTTTTGGTTAAAAGAGGTGATTGCTGATGCAAGACGAAGTAAAAGAGATTTTTGGGATTACCAATAAGACTGGACAAGGATGAAGAGAAAATGTGAAAAAAGTCAGAAAAAGTCAAAAGTCAACAACTTGGTATTTCCATAAAGCTGTAAGACTTTTCAAGAGAGTATGGACATTTTCTCCCAGATGACAAACAAATGAGTAATACAATTTATAGCCATTTGGGCAAAAGTGAACACTTTGTATATTAAACTTTTAAAAAAAATTATCATAAGAAAATTTTGATAGATTATTATCAGTATGTGGATTGTCCCACAAAAAGTATGGAATTATTGGAAATGTTATAAATGTTTATTCAATCTTGCTATAAAAATTAAACAGTCATTTGTAAACCTCCATATGGAACATCGGATCATAACTCAATTCATCTGTTACCAGCTTATTGATATAATTTAAGACCAAGAAACCCTACTGTGAAATTAGTCAAAACTTGGACAGAGGAATATCTGGAACAGCTAAGGCTATATTTTGACTGTACAGTCGGGGACATCACCGAGCAAACATCTGGGGATTTGGAGAAACTGAGCAAGTGAAGTCATTACAGACTACTTCGATTTTTGTACTGATACAATTGTACCAGAAACAAAACAAATAAGAAAATTACATCTGTTACTTTAAAGAGAAAAACAACTGATGTAAAGCCTGTAATGGAGCGAAGACTTTAATTTGGAAAAAAAAAAAGAAGGGAATAAGTGTATCTCATAACCTGTATTCTGTAAACAATTTTAATTCCTTTAATGCTCGTTTGACAATGTTGACTTCCCAGAAGTACTAGAGTGTGTCATTCAATTCCACAGTGTGAGCAGTTGAGAATATTAATGTCTGATGTGTTACAGTAGTTTACTAAAATTAATATACATAAGGCAAGTAGGACCAATACCTGGAATTGTGCTGAAAGAGTGTGGACGGCAACTGTGTAATATTTCAAAAAATAAATTAATTCAAATGTCTATTGCTACACATTTGTAAGATACTATTATTGAGGAAAAATTATTGTAGCTAAACAGCACAATTGACCAGCAGAAAATGATTATCATCCTGCGGCTTTCACATCTATTTCTATGACATGTTTTGAACACAGTGGTTGGTAAAGAGGAAGGGAACTTACTGTATCTGCTACAGATTTTTATATGGCAGGAGAGGCATGTAGGATGTTACATTAACCATTTTACTGTATATGTTTATAGACATTCATAACAGTCATATTCTTTTACTTGATTATTGTTGACTTTTCATCAGCGTTTAATACCTCTGAGCTTAAACTGTTAATCCTGAAGCCCAGAGCCACGAGTGCAAACTCAGACATTATTATATTAAATATATAGCGTCTTTTATTGTAAATAGACTGTAATCTGCTATTGTGAATGGTACTCGATCCGGAGTTCTTGGTAGCAATCATGAAATGCTAACACAGGATATATGTATAAGATCAGACAAAAAAGGCTACAATAAGATACGTATAGAAATCATCTTTACCTTTACTATCGGTTAGAGATTTATATGCATTTTTACCTTCTGGATGCAAGGCACATACAGTATATGAAGATGGGTAAACAAGACTCTATACAATTTTAACCCAATTTGCATTAATCCTTTTAACCAGTAAATATACTGTTTTGGAGTTTTACTGAATGTGATTTTGCATTATGTATTTGGAGGTATTGTGATGGACTACAGTACATTTGCACTGTATTCTTATGATTGCTTTGGTGAGCGATTGGACTCTGGAATTCAAACCAAATAATCTCCTTCAGGATTAGACACTATTACACATAATTCCAACCATTTATACACTGCTTTGCAACTCAAAGGATACACATAAACACTCTTTCACATATAGGAAGAGACCCAATATTCATCCACCACTGAAGCGTAACATCCACCTGGCTGACATGTGGCAGCCATTATGTGACACCTGCCCCACTATGCATTAGATCAAGAGAAAAAGTAAGAAACTGAAGAACTAATCCAATTAAAGGGGATCTTTACATAGGCCAGAGTGTGCAAGCTCACAGTGGAACCAGGATGTCAGGGTGTTAACTCATCTGCTCTTACGCACAGTGCCAATAACCGAGTAATCAGGAAGTTGGATTAAGGTCTCACTCAAAGGATGGCACATAGTACAGCACAGTTTCTCTCATCACCATACTGGGGGATTGGTTTGGAAGTTCGGGTCCCAGCCTCAGCCTTGCTTAGTTTCTGATGGTACCAAGTTAGAAGTTGGCAATGCTGCCATGACCTTTAATGAGTACACACTGCACAGGCTGTCGTGCATTTTTGGAGTCTTCCCTCCTTTCACCCTTTGAGAGTAATTTCAGGGTTTCTGCTACTTCTGGGAAGCACTCAGGGGTAATGGCTTTTCACAGCACTCAGCTTCAGCCAATAATGTTTCCTGACAGCTCTATAAAGGCCTCCTCAGACATAGGTTATGGTGTCTATTTGCTTCTGGGAATGGGATTTACACACACACACAATAGAAAAAAAATAATTGAAAGCATTGGAAGATAGTAAAAAATTCAAAGAATTTTATTGGCAATTATTTTTTTCCCCCGTCACTTGAGTTATATGTACGTCTCTGCTTCCTTTTTGATGGTAGAAGATAAATGAGACATTTCTTCTGGGATGCTTGAGCCTGTCATGTTATACTAAATCGAAATTTTCTTCCCTGAGAGGACACTATTAATACAAGCCCATACAAACAAATTATATTTTAATTCCGAATTTAAACAGGTGAACCACTCCACCCCACTCTATACTCTGCTGAAGCAATTGATATACTAAATCAATAAAGTGCAATAATCTGATGAGAACATTATGAAAAACAATAACACAGTTTATCTGGAAAGCACCCTGTCCCGTGGAGTGGTCTTTTGCTATGGGCTCTATTGCTTTATTTTGATTATTATTTGATCAAGTACCTGGCTGTGTGAGCATCGAAGTGCATCAGCAGCTTTACAACATTCCTACTTGGCTCCTTCCCATAGGCGAAAGCCATTAAAAACTAATTCAGTTGTTGATTCAAACCTTTTCATTCTGTGCTGCTTTCATGCACTTTTTTGGTACCTAATCTACTCCACAGTCACAGCTGGAGCACAGTTGTTAATTACTGAAGGAGCCATTTTCTTCCTCTTTGTTAAATTGAAAAGATGGCTGGAGAGGTGAAAATCGCTGAAATCGGGCAGGTAAAGAGTAATGCTTTTTTGTGGGTTGACCTTGCGTTATGGTAATCTCCCTGGTTATTTGATCCATACGCTGCAATCCTAAAAAGGCAGAACCCCACTGTTAAGTTTCAGCCCTTTATTGGTCTGTAGTTCAGGCAGACCTACAGCAGCAATTAAAGGATCTGAGCAATAAAACCATGTTCACTCATTATTTGCTTCTTCCTTCCATGACCTGTCTGTTTGAAGGGCACAGGATTCCTTGATTATGCATATTAGATCTAATTAAGTCATTTTTATTGTCCTCTTTTATGTATACTAACTTGTTCACAATTTTGGTAACCAGTTTTTATTATTAAGGCTCATTTCCATATGCTAATGAGCAAATAATTACCTTCACATTCATGTGCAAATAAAGTCAAAGTGTTATCAGCAACTAAATTATTTCTCATTAAAAAAATTCAACTGACTGCCCTGTAAATTTAACTTTCAATATCAATTTTAAATTGTCTGCTTTAATAAGCCTCATTTTCATTTGTAAAATCTAATAACTTTAATGTAATGATTAATACAAATTATTCCAGGCATATCCTCAGCACGTTTAATAATACTTCATAATACTACAGCACATCTAGTACATTGGTTTTAAATTATTTGGTAAAGTGCATTTGTAATTAATACTATCAGTCAATACATATAAAAATGTAAAACACCATGTAACTGGGACAATTAGTTCAGAATTTGTAACAAGGTGATTACAGTGAACTCATTTTTTATTTTAAGAAGCAAAGAAAATCTGTATTACTTAATACTGCTTGGCAATAATTAGAAAAAAATTAAGATCCAGTGCAATGTAATTTAAGACCTCAAACATGACTAACAGTTATTAAGTTATTAGACGTGTGTTTTAGAAAATAACATTTAATTCCTTTCATGTGGTTAGCAGCACACTTGGGAGCAATGAATATTCACTGCTGGGAATTCGCTGCTGCAGAAAATCCAATCAGATTTCCACTAAAAGTCACACAAATTGCAGGAATCACTGGTGTTGGCCATCAGTGGTTTAATGTTGCAGTGGGTATACCTCCAAGTTTGTGTGTTCATCTGAGACTCTATATTTATAATGTCTTCTAATGAGCAGATATCTTGCTGCATATTTGGACTGCAAAGAAGTGTTATATTAGTGAAAAGTCTTTAAGCAGCAATACCAGGTAGATATTTACATTATATCAATGTCAATCTACAATCACAAACTAGGACCTTTTTAAACTCCTGACCCAACTGCATCTACTAACAAAAGAAGCTAAATGCAGCCTAATAAAAGCTGCCCCCAGGAAAACCTCTCATCCCTTAAAAATCCCTGAAAAGTCATTTTATACATACTGTATAAATTAGTTGATAGATACAGTGTAGGTTGAGGCTCAGTGGTTAAGAAGGTCAGGTTGTGTGAGATTCAGAGGAATTTAATAAAAAGCCAGATTTGACGGCTACCCATAGACCAGCATACACTGCTTTTTATTACCAGGAACAAATAAGTAACTGTGCTCTGCAAATGTTATGCACATTTAGGATATTGTTGATCACAGCCATTCCTAAACAGAACTTTTTTCTTCATGGAATTGTAGAATTTTGTATTTACAACTTACATTTTAGCTTAAAGGTATCCTTCCAAATATAATGAAAATATGACATTAAGTAAAATAAGTAACAAGTAAAGGTTTATTCCATGCTGAAAAGAGAAGAAAAGAAACACAACGTTTCCGCTGTGGAGCCTTCACTTGTTCCTTTGCTGCATACGCATGCCAAAACAGCTACATACTTGAACTATTAAGTAAAATAGTCATTTAATACCGAACAACAGACTAAAGTATTACTGATATGAACCTGGTTAGCCTCTCTCCCAAAATCCCTTACCTGTGAGTGAGGGGGGCGATCCCACAGGGGTGGAAGGATTTGATGAGAAACTGTTGTTGGTATGATCTGGAGAGTAGATCTGAAGTGAGAAATGAACAAATACAAAGGTCTTAAAATGCTCAGAAAGCATTTCCTTTCAAATTTATAAAAAGCTTACACCAAAAACAAAAAGTAAAGTAAAAAAAAACGTTTTAGTAAAAACAAATTAAAATTCAGAGCTACTGTACTACAGCATATTAATGTTCAGCTCTGTGCTCTTTTTTTGTGAGGAATTTAACATTAGCTCAAAGCTGATTTATATAATAGGAGTTTGATTGAAATGCTTAAGAAAAGGATCTCCTGAGTAATAAACACACACATTTTAAAACATTATTTTAGTTCATCCCATTTTATGAAATTTCATCTTAATTTACAGATATTAAAAAACTATGGTGAATATAATACAAAGAATAAAATTAAAGGTCTAAAAAGTTCTGATGATGTCCTGATCCCTATTAAGTTACTGCACCATAAGGAAAGCTTACAGGACCTTAATTACACTATTAGGGGAAAAACAACTGTATATTTGCCACAGACAGCCAGTAACTGAATATTCATATAAAAGAAAATCAAACAGACAAAAATGGCACATCACAAATTGTGTATGAAACCGGTAACTGGAGAAAAAATGCACCCACTCACGCAACACACAAAAGTGTCCAAATGTTTGCTAAAGTATAACCTTCATTTTACTGTAATATGTTACTGTAATATGTAACTGATGCTCTCAAAGGTCTCCACATTTGACTGAAGTGATACAATCTGAATCAGGCTAACTATCACATGTTGCAGAATGGAATGGCAGACTTGCTTAGTGGGGTTTGACACGGTGGGCGCTCTTTAATGTCGCACTACTTACAGATGCCAGAGCCTTTCCCAGCGCATCGCCAGTTTGTGAGCTGCCCGCGGCTCCGCTTGCTGCCCTGTTAGCTGAACCAAAGACATAAAGGAAGCGTTTGTTTAACAAAGACACTTTTCATTTCTTCAGCTTCTAAATGCGAAATAACCCTGTGGTCATCTAGCCACCCCCCACCCTTGAATGTCCAATTTGTTTCTATCCGTCACATTGTACGCGCTGATGGTAATTAGTCACAGGCTCCCACAAGTGTGAACTTCGGCAATCAGCGTTTCACTGCTCCAGCTTTCTTTCTTCTTTCTAACCCCACAGATGGCGGCCAAAGACACAAACCATTGACAAAGAATCTTGGTGAGATTACAGAGCTCCCAGACATTACACAGGAGAGAGAATTTCTCAGCCTAAAGAGGTACGGGGATTGCAATTCATGCTTTCGTACTTTTATCCTTTTACTTTGACTTCTTTACTTCGTGGCAAGTAAAAAAAAGGCAACTTCCTGCTATATATAATCAATACAATAACTGGGTAAAATAGGTAACATATCATAAAACAAAGAAGCTGCAAAAAATCACACATGTACAATGTTTCAGAACATAAATATAACACTGTCCAGGGACTGATAAGCGCTGGTACTTAGTAGTGGAGTAATTAGTATGTAAGTTGAGAGCAAGGGATATCTCCACAATGTAAATTTAAGTTTAATGCAGCTTATAATAAGATAAACAAAGTATATAGTTTGTGTAGAATAAACAATACAGGTGGTGCAACAAACAAAGGGAGTTGTAGATTTTTAGTGTAGAATATCCTTCCTCACTAGACCTGTAAAATGCTTGCTTTATCAAAGTAAGTCACCGATGGACAAAAAGGTCTAAAACCTCAAGACCTTAAGCTTTCATTGTCTTGTTTTAATCTAGAATTGTCAATTATTTCCATGTTTATAAAAGATTTGCCTCTTTTCAGCTTGTCTTGCTCTGTCAAGCCATTCCCTTGCACACAAAGTCTTTTCTTGAGCAGTAAACCCTGAATGAAACGCAGGTTCAGTTCTTACTGCTGCAAGGTGCCTGGAAAGTCACAGTAGTCTCTGTTATATGGCAATCCCAAGAAAACACACTGCTGGGGACTCCTAACCCTAGTGAAGATGCAGCACACTCTCCACTGTCATTTGGAAAGTCCCAGTCACAGTGGGCTAACAACACAGCTCAGACTCAGAGTAGTGCTGACCCATGACTGACTTTACTGGACGAGCACCTACAACCTAGAGAAATGCACAACTTAACTATTAACTCTGCTAGGGTGACAGAAAGGCTTTAGCCAGAGTTGTAACTCTGTAATTAACTGTAATTTGTGAATGCTCCCAGTGCAATTGTGGTCTACTTAACCAGACTGTGATATCCGATATCTTAATAAGGTACTGGGAAGCAGACGCATAATACATTCTCCCATTCCTTGATGAAAAAGTCCTGGGCTGCTTGTTTAAACACTCAAGAGAGTACACACTATTTCATGCAGATCTGCATGTCAGCTTTGCTGTACACTGCAGAAAAACATCACATTTCAAGAAAGGTCAGGTACAGTATCGAAGGTTTAGAAGAATTATTAGTAATTCTGCATTTCAATAACGAAACACTAGAATCCGCCTTTGGAATGGGCAAATGCCAGATTTTTGCTGCTTCTGGCTTTCCCTTAATTAGAAACATCTTGTAGTTGTACAGATAGAACAAATAGCTTTTGAGATCGTAACTTTAGATTGGAGTGCATACTGTCAAACTTCTGAATGCAGAAATAAATACGATCCCACAAATCATGACATTCACATATGGCAACCGTTTCACCAGCTTCACACGGTGTGTGCAACGTAGGTTTTTCAAGCTTTTGTTTTGACTTTGGGCGAATTATGACAAACTGAGAGAAGGGTTTCTTTACCTTTTAAACTACTACAAGTTAATGATTTCCAAATAAAAACTAGAAGACCAGTTTCAGATGAATTCTAATTGAGTCCCACCTGTGGGTTGTTTCATAATGCATTCAGCAGTTATGATAAATTAAAATTCAAATGAAAAACATTCCTATTAGTGTTTTACTGTATTTACTTTGGACATGTAAGAGAACTTTAAGCAAACTGCCAACTGCGGTAGATGGACAAAAGAGCCCATATATGTCAACAAGACTAAGAAATCCTGTACAATACGACTTCCAAGTACTACTTTTCCAACTACATTATTTCAGCCAAAATGCCACACAAAACTTGTGCTTACCTCTACTGATTCCAAGTTCACACATTCCAGTTACAGGATAAGTCTAAGTCATTTGTCCAAACTCGTCAACAAACATATTTAATAGTTTATATAGGCTGCTTTGGAAAAAAAAACAACTTCTATGAAAATTGCATATGCCAGAGGTAAGCCACAAGGCTATCGCACGTCATAGCCGCACATCATTAGAGGGAAAAGAGCACCAGAATTATTGTATGCTCCCAACGTGTATCACTGTAAAATTTCAAGCATATGTTAAACCCAATCATTTTCAATAAATGAAAGATTAACTGTACAGGAGATTAGCCTTCAAAGGGCAATTGGTCATACTTCACTTTTGATCAAAAATGAATGATAATGTGAGTTGGCATTACTCTATTTTTGTTATTTTAGAATAAAAATATTTCAGATTTGCGGTGAAGAGTTTCCAAAACGTATCTATCTCATCATTTGTGTTGGACACACTGGCTTGTAATGGCCTTTATTATGAAACTTTTATTTGGATACTGTAATCTTAAGACATCAAAGTGGGGTTTCCATGGCGAACAATTTTATTATATCCTATCAAAACTTGACTGTGTGTCAGGGTCTTGCTAAATGTCAGAAAAGATTAAAATGTACAGTACATACAAACACATGAGCACTTTCTGACCCTTTTGGAAGTGAAGAGGAGACGTGGCATGTGTTAATGCTTCGCTGTTCATTCTTGCAGTGTTTTGTAATAGAAAAATAAATGATCAAATGTGAAACCCAAAACATATGCATCAAACTTCATGTTTCCTATTTATTTTTTTATTTTTTATATCCTGGTATTTCTTGTTTATGTTAGCGAGTGCATGCAAAAAGAACAAAAAGGGAAACAAGAAATTTGCTTTAAAAACAATGCATGAAATCTGCTTCAGATTAGTTTATTATATTAATGTGGCGTTCAAAGAAATATACATAAACAAATCTATTGTGGCAAAAAGATTGACATTACATCTGCCACAGCTCAGTCAAAATGGCATTGTAATTTCTGCTTATCATACTGAAGTTTGGATTCATCTTTAATTGGAAGCTATTTCAATTTTCTCTTAATTACATTACACATCTGATAACTTTTTTTCCCAGTTTTGTTTCTCTTTATTCAAACTTAGGGACTGAACAGCATAATTAATTTTAATTGAGTTACAATACATACAAAACATAATAACAATACAACAAAACAGAGAGGAAACACAATACTGTTAAAAAAAAGCCTTTGCTGAACAAAACAAGGGAAACAAGATCGAAAATGTTAAAGATGTCTCTGATGCATGTATGTGCCTGTCTGTCTCAAAGGAAGATGTAACTCTCTGATGCGGACCAATGACTGAAAACTTGCCAATGTGAAATAGGTTTTAAAAGCTTAGATATTGGAATTAGTGATTAATTCAAAGAGTGAACAGTCTGCATATTGACACTACAGAGCAGCCGAGGGTGCTTTCAATAAGGCCAACTCACCCATAATGGTGTCTGTTCCATTTGTGGGCGGCGTACAGGAGGTGGCGCTGTAATGATTTCCTCCGCTGCGATGAAAACTAGACATCGGAGGAAGACTGGAATTGATGTCTGCTGAGGAGTGTGATGGGTAACTCTGTGGAGAAAAAAAAAAGCAGCTTAAAGCACAAGCTACCTACAACAAAATGTGTGCTGGAGATTCACACTGCGCCTAAGTCTTCATTGATTTTGCTCATTTCAGGCCAGGCCATGTAAGATGAAAGTGCCATCTATTGGTGTGCAGTTTTCACACCTTTCCGCTGGGCCAACATGGTGAAAGCTGCATAAAGCCTGACGGAAAAGTCATCACTGACTAGAGGAGCAGTGCTCCCTAACATCACTGCCATCCTCCATGCACCAGGAAAGCTGCGGACAATGCTATTTTGCCAAAAGACACCTGGCCAAGCCCATATCTATGATGCTGCCCTGGAAAGTGTATTGCACTGCTTGAGGACTTGGGAACCTTGGTTACAGCTTTTTAAAAACATGACATGTGACAGGACCTGAATGAGACACTAGAAACTATTCTTTGACGTTTTTGAAGTGCACATGCTAGTGCGTGTTAAGAATGAGATAAATGGCAACACTTAACTATCTACCTTATCAAATGATACCTGTTATTTTATGTAAGTTTCTTTTTTGTTTCAGTTCTGTATTTTGTGTGTGGTGTGGTATAGCATTCTATGAACTGTTCATAAAGTGTATTTTATTATTTATATGTTATTACTACTTTGCTATTGCCACACATAATTTGCCTCAAGAAAAGAATACCGAAATTAGTGGTGAAATGCATTTACAGGATGTTTATTTTCATAAGTACTACACACTAGAGAACAGTAATTATTAAAGAAAGCCTTTATGTTTGCAAAGCCTTAAAACCTTTCTTGTTAAACTTAAAACTTGTTGTTAAAAAAAACACACACACTACCATATTTTACATAAACAAATTAAACCTGATAACACTACTGGGTCTTCAAATCACCTGAATAAAAAAGTTTTAAATGCTCAGATAACATATTTAGAACTATGCACTGCAGATGAAAGGTATATAACTTACAAGTCTGTCGTGTGGATGCAGACCACAGTAGCCGCTGGTCTGAGGGCCATGTGATGAGTTTCCCAGCATTCCACTGTAGCCAGGCTGGTTCATTCCACTGGAGGAACTCCATGGATCAGTACTGTGGTGACCATCTGATCATAGACCGGAAGAACAACATTCAAATACTACACACACCACTTCACCTCTGAGATACATTCTGACTGTGTCACCTTTGGAAACTTTTTTTTCCCCATTATCCTTAGTAGTGGCCATCTGTAAAGTTGAGTGCTGGGTCAATATCACAGCAAATGGTTCAATCAAAGAATTCGCAACAAATATCTTAACTACGCAGAGTTCTCAGGACAACTGCTGCATGAATATTTAAAAGACCCCTTATTCTCCTGTTTAAGAGTAAGCTGATCACTAACTCTTGAAAACGAAAAATACATGGATGGAAGTCTTTATTAATATCTTGTTATTTGATCCAAAAACAATCAGAGATTGCCTATAGTCCCACATTGTTCCAAATTCACGGCCAGTTCATGCCAAGAAGATAGAGGCTTCAGCAGAAAGAGTCTCCCTTGTCTCATCACGTTACGATGCAGCTCAGTGTGTGCTCAGAAGCAGCTTGCTCAATTAACACCAGCCTGTTTGGTCTCCAAGACTCTTCATGGTGTGGATATAATCCTGACTTCATTTCGTTATGTGCCTTTTTAAACTGTTAAAATGATAATGTACATGCAAAGGGGGATGTCAATTAACAATGTAACTTCATCAGAGAATATTTTTTCCTCTTTCCAAAAGCTGTCTATAAGATTAATTTATACTGTCCATTTTCCCACAGAGGTGTGCACAATGAGATCATCCTGGAAGAAGTAACAACACTGTATGGTCAGAGCAACAGTAACATACTACACAAAACTCATCCCTGTTTGGATTTGGCAAAGAAACCTGCATGTTAGTTATTGATTTAATAATTAAGTTCTTAACAAATGCTTTGAACAGGTGCATGCAGAAACCCATGTCTTTCACTTAGGTTACGAGTTGCACATACAGTAATTATATTTATTTAATCTTTACATGAATTTTATTGATTTTCATTTTCTGGAACCCTTCTTAAAAGGTTCCAGTGAACGAATTATAATTGCAAGGACATTTATTTTTTAAAATTTTGATCATTTTTGTAAATACTGTGGTCTGGATGAAACCAATACTGTTTTGGATGAAAACAGTAGTTTAAGCCCTAAAATGCCACATTCATCTGATTCAAAATATATCATATTCAAAGTAGCTGCTGACAGATTTTACATAATAACAAAATATCACACAACACATTTATCATGCTATTAATTGTAGAGAACAAATACCACTTCTGTTGGGCACTTTACTGTACTTGATCATGCTTAATGTTTTTGTTGCAGTTCCTATGTTTCCTTGTCTATGTAACTGTATATATACTGACAGAACTACAGAACTATATATATTTATATTTCTTTGAAACTGTAAAATGACAGTCTGAAGTACATTAAAAGGAATGAAATCTCATCCTTGGTTAGCATTTAGAATTTAAAGATATAAAGAAAAGTAAAAATATGTAAACTGTCTTCTAGATAATGTTGATACAGTTAAAAGACAGTAAAATAAAATAAAATAAAATAAAAGATATTGTGAGTGTGTGAGATGTTTGCAGATTCCTGATTCTGCTAAGACTGTGCAATCCCCTTTCCATGACTGAAATATTTCACATGTACTTAGCCTTCCCTCAAGGAGACACAATGGTGAGTGGTAAATGGGATTCTGTTCTAAAGACAAAGTCAGGCCAAGAATTATTAAAACACAGGGATGGTAAAACTCTCTAGGAAGCCATTTTCATGGCGGGAAAAGAAAAAAAAAACATCCGTTAAAAAAAAAACAACAACTTTTCTTTTTGACCACCAAATTACAGAGAGAACTGAGAAAATAAACACAATAACCTTGATCCTACTGATTTGTCTCTGGTTGAGTCTTTGACATTGTAAATTAGCCACCTGCTGTGAGATTGATTTGATTTTTCACTGTCCCACAGAAAGACACAGACTGGTATTTCTGTGCCTCTCTTCAGCACAGGCCTCGGAAGGCAGGGCTCAGCGTGAACATTGTGCTTCAGGAGACTCCTGACACCACAGCTGCTGTACCTGGCATGAAGAAAGTGCCGGGGAAGCTGCTGCTGGGTGGCTTGGAGGAGGGATACCCTGGTGAGTCCCGGTTATAGTCGGCAGTGCTTGCAGATGGGGCGTACACCTGAGAAACACACAAGAAATGACAACGGTGAGCAAAGCATCATGAGCTCATACAAGCAAAAGAAGCCACTGCACACTGTGTGTTGATGAAAACCTGTCATGAAGCAGTTACTGTACACGTTTCCACAATAAATACTAGAGCTGAGTTTTACACACAGCGTTTTTGTGTGCTAATTGAGTTTTTGCGGGAAACATGTTTTCTCCTGTTTTAACGAAACACACAAAACCCCTTGGTCACCGCATTCATACATTACAATCCTCGGGGTTTTTTTAGGGAGATATTTAATTTTTGGGAGTTTATCAAGGTCGGCAGCAACAAGAGTCTGCAAAGTAAAATATACTTTAATGAATTAAGACAGCAGTTTCTGAACCTCATCTTTACATAAGCTGGTTAACATCTCCCATGACACACATATCATTTACATCCTGCTGAACAACAGACATGTTACATCCCAATTGTGAAAGAAAAAGCAAAAAAATACTTTGATAGCTACAGCAGGCAGAAAGCAGGACTCAAATAAAGTTTCAGAGCCAATTTGGACAACAGACTTTGAGTGTCTTTAATGTGTAAGATAATTGTGTTGGGAATTAATCCACTGGAACACAGGAAACAGGACTGCATTCTGAAAACATGTGCTGTCGGGTCAGCTGTTTGACATGTCACACCACAAACAAGAGCTTTGTGAAATGGACAGCTAATAGTTCCACTGGTGGGAGCCACTGAATCCTTGTCAGGTGAACATGCTGTCCTAATACTGCTCTTGTGCAAAATCAATTCCAATTATGGCTTCCATGCATTTACAGACAAATGTGTTTTTTTAAAGCATAATGGGAAAAGGTGCACATTAGTGACTGTCACATATATAAATATAAATGGGACAGCACTTTTTTCACGGAAGTGACTATAGAATTCCAAAAATAACTTACAAAATTACAAAATTACTTCACATGCCAGGTGTTCTGAAGGCTTCTAAAGACTATAAAATCATGCATATCACGGATCCAATATTTTATCTGAGGGCTCTTGAAGAGACATGAATCTTAAGATGACATTTAAATAGGGAAACAGGACGGATTTCTCATATCCTTGCACAGGGAGTTTCGCAGAGCAGAGTGCAAATGTTCAACAACATCTTCCAGCTAGGAAGGCAACAAAAAATGGCTGTATGACATGACTATATCTGAATGTTTCAAGGAGGGATTGTGAGACTTTTAAAAACAGAAGAACAATAAATTAAATGTATTTAATATCAAGGTACCTCTCACACATTTCACTCACATCACTAGTTTTTGAAATCATATGTAAATATATCACGCTCTGTCCTTCTTTAAAATGTAAGGATTTTAAGTCTCACGTGTATTTACACAGACATCCTGCTTATAGCAGTCACTTCACTCTTATGAGACACTTTTAAGTTTTATGACTGTTGTAAAAAGGGACATATCCAGAAAAGGAAAGGTCCTTTTCTTTTGTGCACTGTTTCCTGGCCTTGACAGAATATAAAGGGAAAATATGTAAAAACAGCACACGAAAGCAATTCTTACATCTCAGCAGTTATAATAAGAAATCAGTCAACAGCTATGAGGTCCATGTAACCCTGATTAGTTTTCTCCGCTGAACTTGGTGACAGACCTAATGCACTTGCCAAAACCACAGATAATGTAAATAAATGGATAAGCCTTACAAAAATGAAGCCAAATCACAGAACTCTTTAACCCTGAATAGTCAGAGATACATTACAGTGTTACTTAACAAGACTCTGCCTTCAGAATGTAAAGCCTATGTCTGTAGCATTACCTCACATACTGTAGTGTTATGTCCCACAGCTTTCTAACATGACATTCATCAGAAGCTTTAGCAAATGAACAAATTCATCCTTTTTTACTTTTTAAGAAAGGCTTTTTCCCTATTCAAAATCGACAGGATCTCCATAAAAACAAGGTATGGCAACAGATTAACCACAACACAACCACAGTCGAAAAAACTAAGGAGATTATGGAAACCTTCCCAGGCCCAGTCTGGACAGTCGTTCTGTGATTCTGCTGAACGAAGAGTGACACTTGTGTGACCGTGCTGTGTCTGCACTGTGGAAGACCATGGGAGACCATATTTTCCCATGAAGCACCTTGCACAAGCAGCAGAACACAAACAAGGCAAATTCCAATGCCTGTAAATACCATTATCCACAAGCTGCAGGGGATACATTAGTAATCTTTTCCTCTTTTTCCACTGGAGAGAACATAATGCTGGAAAAAGACTTATTTAAATGTCACAAACTAGTATAACACCAAAACCACATTCTACTGGTTAGTGCTTTATAAATACACACACACTTGTGTTAGTATAAAAAACTAATAAACAGCTCTGCCTATAGTTAGTTTGTGTATATTTTTTAGATTTTCCTTTTAAACTTGATTTTTCTTACAGAATTCCATAGAAGATCATTAGGTAGTGATCACTGAGTACTACTGGAGGAATGCATGCATACTCTTTTCTTCATAGCCACAGTAGAGAAAATATGTGTTCTGTGCTTTGTGTAGAATGATACAAACCCAGGTTCCCTTGAAAGCAGAAAAGCCATGTCACTAAAAGCTTATTTTCACTGTTTGCCTCTGTAAAGAGGACAAATACACACGTGCTAATTCAAAGACATGGTCGCCACTCTCTGTTTAAAAGGCTAAATCGCAGCACAACTGCTTTTGTCTTCTTTTAAACAAAAATCTTAAAACAGAATCCTGGGAAAGGCGCTTGGATCAGAAGCATCCAGGTACGCTCAGCTGCACCTTGTGCTGCAAATAAAAAATCTGAAAAAAAAACCTAGAATGGGGAAGCGGGAGAAGATATTCCTGCCCTGGTTGTTAGACGAGCTATCTGTTATTACTTCCACACAAGTAAGATCCTGAGAACATCTGGCATGGCCCCCCTCAACCCCTCTCACGCTTCTCTTCACCTTCCTGTGTCAAAACAAACCTTCTCCTCATGGGTGGTTAACTGTATCAGGACCTGTGATAGCATGGCAGACAGACCTAAGGCAAAGCCTGTCAAAGTGTGCTCAGCTAGCTTGGTGGCAACAGGATCCTGGAGCTGCTACTCTATTGTCTTCCACAGAAAGTGACTGAAGGTAGGCCCATAGTTTTTCACCCTCGATAGACGCGTTATCCCAAAGACCTGTGCATCCTTACACTCTCTTTTCAAAAATCTGTTCTTTATTCCCAGCGTTACAATACCAGCCTATTTTGTTTTTTTTTTAAACAGCAAACTCTTAAATGAAAGCAAAAATGTGGACAGTGTAGGAAACCAGCTGTGTGTGTACTGTAAATATCTCTGGGCTGTAGGGCTGTATCCGAGTCTCTCCGATTTCTTCATGAAGTCCTAACCAGAATCCTCCTTGCTTATGAACAGAACCTGATTTCTGGGCAGAACAGTCTGTGATGCTTTTAGTGACATTGCTAAAGTGGAAATCATTTAACACTCAAAATTCCCTGCATCAGGATACGGAAAAGAAAATAACAAAGGAAGAGCTGGAATGGAACTTAGGGAATGGATATTTGTCCCTGTAAAACCACAGATGACATGTGAAAAACGTATTACGCATGCACTAAAACAAATACAGTGCAGAACGTCACGTGTCATTGACTGGTTCGTCTTTCTAACGCCAATTTCCTAAGCTTCCGAATACCGAAAATCTCTAAATACTGTTGGGAACTGCCATGTATCATGGATACTTCATTTTTTAAAACCTGCTGATATAAAAATACACTTAACAGGACCAAAACTCTTGGGTGTACAAATTTCCAGAAAAAAAAACAGCACATACATTTCCCTAAAATAATAATGTTAATACTTTTATGGATTTATGCAATTAATTGTTTTGAATGGAGGGTCCAATATGGTTCTCAATATACTACTCAAATGTAAATAAAGAAACGTTAAACATTGTTGGGGATAGCACTTCGTTATTGATGCCTTGCTGTTCTATAGTTACTGGACCGTAAGGTTTATACTCAATACCCTGCAATGGAAGCAGCTCTGAAAACGTGACAGTGTGCCTCTACCAGCATGCTGCACCTGTGCAGATACACAGCAGTAGAATGACAGATGCTAATGCAGAGCAGATTGCTGTTCTAACCAGGGCTAATTTTACTCTAGCTGAAAAGGCTCAGCCAAAACCACCAAGACCGTCTGAAATAGAGCTGTGGGATTGTGTGAATGAAAGCACTGAGGAAAAGTCATTATAAAGATGACATCACACAAGGTTAGGCAAAGTCTATCTTTGTCAGTCGAAAAGATTTCTGGTGTGTGTGGTTTTCTTTTATATCTATTTTCTTCAAAAAGGAGAAGATGGGACATTTTAGTCCATCTTGCGGTTATCTGACTGTATTGACACAAAAACTGTCTTTTTCTTACGTTTCAGATCACTGGTAAGCTACACGTCAAAGTTCCAGCATACCACTGGGAAGAAATGACAAGGCTGTGCATTCTGGTAACGATGCATGGAAGCTTGGACACCTTTTTGTTGGAAATGTGAATATCAGCGGACCACATCTCAAAGAAACTGTCTTCTAACAACTGGCAGAGTACTTTGACCAAATTTTGCTCAGGCTTCCCTGCCTTCAATTTAAAAAAAAAATTAAAAAGAAAAAAAAAATCTCTCTTCCCTTTACTCCCCCCCAAGCCTCTCTCTTCTTTTCTATGTTGTTCATCCAGGAAACTCATTATAAAATCCATACAACTTTGTATTGTTTCAAGTTTAGCTGCAGCAGATTCTCATAAGGTTAATTGAGAACCTTAATGCTGAGCACATGTTTTCCTTGTTTTTTAAGTGGTCGTGGGGGTTGGACAACTGGAGAAACGCGATGCAGCTCCCACACCATATTATCCGATTCCTCCTGAGGAGGGGAGAGAGAAAGCAAGAACGTTGGGAGAGAGAGGGAGAAATCCGGAAGGAAATCCCACCCACCTCACCCCGGACTTTATTCTATCAACCTGCAATTGCAATA